TCAAGTCAGGTCTTTAATGAAATTTTCCCTAATGTTAGTAGATTTCCCACACAGTCCAATAGATAGCAAAAATTATAGGGTTTCAAGGAGATCTAAATATGTGGCTAGTTTGTATGAGATTTTAATGTTCCAAAATGAGTATCTTATACTAGTTTTGCAATCATGCAAAAATAATTTTTTTTTCTGGGAAAATTAACCTTTTTTTTTTATATATTGTTGGTTGATTACTGTACATTATTAATGGACCTTTGAAATGTTTTGCTTATAACAAGCTTTTATGTGGCAAACTTGGTTCTTGTAAGCAAAACGTTGGAAGCATGGCTTGTCCTTTTCTGCAATTTGCAAACACAACATAGAATGTTGCTTGCCTTCATATATCTGTATGTGATCTTCAATCTTGAATCTTGTTGAAGACAAAGAAGCCCTTTAGCAATCCCTTCGACAATCTTGCCTCTCTAACCCTAGTTTAATGTCATTTGCTCTTTTAATCCTAATCCTGGTTGCTGTAATGCGTAATTAATCAAATTGCAAAATGTTCCTCTAAAGTTTATAATTTTCCACCTGACAGCTCCCCCTGCATGTACTAGCAGTATTTTTGATAACATTGACAGGCAAACTACTATTGAAGTTCAGTTCTTCTTCTAATCTAGCTATCCATGATTAGGGTATGTAACCAACTAAGAATGTGCATGTCGAACATACAGCTCCCACCTTCATAATTGAACTTCTTTATGTGAACTGAATTTTTTTCTAAGATCAAATAACCTATTCCACCAATATAAACATATGCAAAGAAGGAACAGTTTCTCAAGCAGAAAGGTAGCTTCACGTCTTCTATTTGGAGCATACAAATAAAGTGTGTTTTCTGGGTCTCGAGGGCTCAATTTAGCTGGTAAGAATATTAGTCAGGTGATCATGAAAACTTTGATTCGATTTTCAAACTCTCCTCTTCTCCCCTTTCCCCTTCTAAGACTTAGGGTCTCCTTTTGTCAAAAAAAATGCGTTTTTAGACATTTTCATGATTGTGAACTTTCAAAACCAATGTCCTTTACTTTCTTCATAATTTAGCTGGTAAAGATATTAGTCAGATAGTCATGAAGACTTTGATTCGATTTTCAGACTCTCCTCTCCTCCCCTTCTAAGACTTAGGGTCTCCTTTTGTCAAAAAAAAAAATGCGTTTTCAGGCATTCTCATGATTGTGAACTTTCAAAACCAATGTCCTTTACTCTTTTCATAATTTAGCTGGTAAGGATATTAGTCAGATGGTCGTGAAGACTTTGATTCGATTTTCAGACTCTCCTCTTCTCCCCTTTCCCCTTCTAAGACTTAGGATCTCCTTTTGTCAAAAAAAATAATAATAATGCGTTTTCAGGCATTCTCATGATTGTGAACTTTCAAAATCAATGTCCTTTACTCTCTTCGTGACTTGTACTTACTTTCTACTAAAGTTTGGCTCTTCTAACACAATCGCCTTTCAAGTTTCTGCTATTCCATTCATTTGTGAACTAAGCTCCATAGTGAATTATAAATTTACAAATGAGTGACTCTGCAAATTTGCATTGTTCCGAAGGCATACAGTTTCCGAATCAATTACGTAGAGGCTAGGACACATTTCTGCTAGTTTTATCCATTGTCGCTTGCTTCTCTACATCCCACTTCAGTCAGTAACAGAACTTGTAGAAGTCAGATAATCAAAGGTGGAGGTGGAATATGGAGTGAATAGATGTGAAGTAAAAAGATCATTGTTTTGACTATCCCCCAAAAGATTGGAACCAGCGAGATAGTCCTTGCTTATTTATATTATTCTGAGAAAACTTCTCCCATTCTACTGTCCTGTTTTAAAATGCTTAACTGAACCATTCGTGCTTAAAATCTCTAGTAATTCTTGAGGATCCACGCCAAAAATATAACATTCTGGTAATGGGGGTTCTTTTTATTTCTTCATGAATTAAGCTTAATTTGATCCCTTTTTTTTTCATTTTTTAAATAATCAGCCCAATATTCATTCATTCCTGGAAGAAAGTATCTGATGGAAGATTAAAGCTTTCCTTCAATTCTGATCCATTTTATTTGCTTTCTTGAAGAAGCTTTTTGGCAAATCATGCTTCATTAATTGTCCAAGTACGTTTCCAGTCAAAACTTGTGTTTATTTTGAGATGTTTTCCTGACATTGTACCTAGAAAATTTTAACCTAATACAAGGAGAGCTGAAACTGTATTTTGAGATCCAGGAGCTTTGAAGACTATACAAGCAAGTTCCTTAAATTATTTCCTAAGAATTCTTACCAAATCAACTATTAATAGTTCAGAGCACTTCCAACAAGATACAAATTTGTTTGTATCGTCATATATGATTAAAAGTAAATTAATTCTAAACAAAAATGGAAAATTAGCAGATTAATGCAACCTACATGAATGTGTGTAAATACAGGAGATATCATAAAAAATCAATGTAGACGAAAGCTTCCCAAAAGAATAAAAAAAATAAAATTTTATAATATTATCAGGATATTAACCACCGTATACACATCCCCAGTTACTTAAAAGTAAATTAATCACCATCCAATAATCGCGTGATTTGAGTTTGCGGCAAAATTGTGGTTGTCACACTGTTATTTGATTGCGAATGAAATAGAAGGATTTATTGATTTCAAGATTTTTAACAAAATTGAATATGTATCCTTTTTTAATTTAGCACTGCTTTTGTGTGGTTTTGAAAATTCAACCATTCATTGCACAGTAACTATTTTCTACAGTAATGGACATGCTCACTTATAATTGCAACTCTAGCATATCCCAAAGGAGAAAAAACCTCCAACAAATTTTTTTCTTTATAATTTTCTTTTTTGGTAAATAGGAAGTATTGAATTCGAGACCTTTTATTTACAATTTCTCCCATCTTATCATTCAACTAAAGTTACCAAACCCTCCCCTCCTCCCCCTCAAATGAAGCTCATTAATTATAACATATACGTTAAACACCAAGAAATTTGTTCTACTATAACAGTAATCACTAGTGCCGAGAGCACACTCGACGTCTGTGCAATTTGTCTTTTCAATTTTGTAACAAATCACTTCTTATATAAAACAATTGAGTATAAAATTTTCATCAACTAGAATAGAAAAAACACTGATCTTTTAATAGTTTTTTTTTTTTGAATAGGATGTTAAAACTAATTTGATAGATATATTACTCATGGGTGGTTATGTAGGCAATATGAATTTAGATAATTAGGGTGGAATTTAGTTGTGGTTGCGTTAGTTGGCAATATAAGCTTATGGATGGTCAGGTGATTAGATTAGAATGGTAAAATTAAATTTTTGTGAGGGTAAAATTAAACATTTAAAAGGTTTTTAAAAAATAAAGTTTACATCCAACTAATGGCTCTCCCTCTGTGTAAAGTAAGATATACTAACTTTCACATTTGAGGTAACTAACAAAAATTCCTTAATCCACCTAATTGATAGCACTACATTCACTTAATCTTTTTCCAACAAGATTCTTTCCTTAATAGCTTAAAGCATACATTATGATTCACACAGCATGTGAGAAGTAAAGTGCACTCTACAAAAAAAAGTTAAAATGAATTTGCTGTTCATGACCGTATGGATCCTATTAAGAACATAATTAAATTGATTCATTTCTCCACATGTGATTAGTTGTAAATTTTAATACTAGGAGATTCACTCTTTATTGTCATATAAATGTCCAACTAAAAGATTAAAGATTGTGAATGATGCCAAAACTAGAAAAAAAAAAAAAAAGGAAAATTGGTAGGTACAATTTACGTAACATATTTCCTGGTATACATCACTTATTACATGTCATTGTATAAACAACAAAATAGTGGTGAAAACTTCTCGTGTTCAAAGCTTCTACCATTCTTCACAAAATTGTCAGTCTAAACAGGCAATCTCAAGTTCACAGGTACGATCTAGTAATGCCGAATTAAAGCTATAAGTTGCTTTCTTGTATTTTTTTTTTTTTCGTTTATTCTCATTCAATCAAACTTCCTTGAATTTATTTCAGACACTGTAACCATTAGAAGCCGCAACTATTTTCACCTTTTTGTCTAATATTATTCTTATCTAGTTCTTCAAATCAAGAATTAAAACCTGAAATGATGTCTAGAAAATACTGAATTGATGGACTAGCTTTTTATACAATTTTAAGTCCGTGTTTTTCCAATTGTTCCTTCGCATACAAAATTTCTATTCGATATACTGATCAAACCGTAAAAACAAATTCTTTGTTTTAAGCTAGCTACTTGGTGTTTTCTTTTACAAACAATCATTAGTACTAATAGGTAGTATAGATGAAGAAGCACTACTCATAAGAATCAACAACAAAAAAATTTTGTTATAATTACTCCCTTCCTTATTGAGTTCAAGATTAAAAGAATGGTTGGGATTACAAACATCCATCTAGTTCGAATTTTGGATAACCATGAAAGGTTGTTGAATTTGCATTTACTCGATTTCTAGGTAGAAAGAAGGATGACATAGCATATTAAATGAAAAATATTTATTCCGTTAAGACTAGTTTAGTTTATCGCTTATATAGGTACACAAGCATACAAGGAAGAAATTTGCTATCCCATTGCTTGTTTTCTTTGTCTCTCCCCCATTCATTTGCATTTCTTTCTAATATATCATCTTTTGATGCTGTGAACTTTGGCACTTGGAGTGGAAATAGGGGAGGCACAGGAACTCGGGTTCAATTCTAGCTTAGTGTAACTCTCAACATTTGCTGAATATTTTCTTCTTTTGATTGAAAAGGTACGAAAACCTACAAATGCTATCTGTTTTCTTTGAATCTTTTATTGATTTAATGAATTGTCTTTCTGGGAAAATTTTGTAGATGTATTTTATAGGTTGTTTTTTTACTCGTCTTCTTTCTTGATTGTTTTCACTAGTTTAACTTTAAAAAAGCTTGCTAATAAAACCAAAATTGGTCCTTCCTTTGATTTCATCAGCTTCTCAAGACAAATAGAATGGAAATGGTATGCAAAAGAAGGAAAGGAAATGAAAATAATAGGATTCAAGAGACAAAAGAAGAGAAAGATGAGACAAGTGCTGACAGATTAAGCTCTCTACCAGACCACTTGAATCACCATGTTCTCTCATTGCTCTCTATAGAAGATGTCTGGAGCATGTCACTTTTATCCAAACGTTGGAATATGCTTTTCACAACATTTCCTATTATTGATCTCAATGAAGATAATTATCCATCTAGAGAAAAGTTTGTGGAAGCCTTGCAGCTATGCTTGGTGCGACGCCAAATGGTTCATCTCCAAAAACTCAGTGTTCAAATGACATTTCCTAGTAACGGGGAAATCGACCAACTGATAGACAAAGTTCTTGATGAAGCAACCAAGGGAAATGTGCAAGCTCTTGACCTGAGGTTTTCAAATGGAAAATATCGTAGTTGTTGGAACACATTGTATGTACTTCCAGAGGTAATCTTTTCTCATTGTTCATCTATGAAATCATTTGAGGTGGTAGGCATCAACTTTGGATATTCCTACAAAGTTTTGAACTTGCCTTTCCTGAGGACTCTTTCCATCAAAAATGCTCTTATTGGAGATGAATTTCTGCCCAAGTTAATCAATGCATGTCCTTCTCTTGAAAACCTGTCTTTGATGCGTTGTCTTGGGCTTAAAATTGCCAAGATTCATCACAACAAAATAAGCTACTTTTTGGTCAAGTGTAACAGACTCTTGGAGAAAATTGAAATAGATCTACCAAACCTCCAGAGATTCTTCTATAAGGGTCCCTACTTGATGAATAGAGCTGGAGTTCTTGTAGCTTCAATGGTCGGGAATGAACATGAGGCTACGAAACTTGATACTGTGTCCTTGAAACATTCAAGATTGGAATTTAAGGCATTTCAGGACCCTTATTTCAAATATCTTGGAACACTCATCCTTTCCGATATTGAAATAGTTGATGGTTCTTTCTGGTGCACCAATGCATTTTTCCCGCACCTTGTCTCCTTGGAATTGAAGTGTTGCAAGACTCTCAGGAAACTTCATGTAATCAGCTCAACAGTTAAGTGTCTTGTCATATGTAACTGCAAATACATGGATTATTGGAAAATTGTGTGTACAAATCTCTTGGTGCTCGAGTATGAAGGGCCAGTGGTGAAGTTCTCTCGACCACTAACGTCCAACAAAGTTGAAGTAAAACTAAGTTTGACGACGCGATTTATTCACTCCCATGATATATTGGAACTTCACCGCACAAGAGATTTTCTTCAGATGTTTTCCCCAGCAGGTGACATGACAATGACGCTCATCCATGATTGTGAAGAGGTAAATTTTGTATTCTTTATCTACTCAATTTCAATTGTATAGTACTGTTAATTTGACTCAATAGAGCCTGTTTCTTAGTTTTGATTTCCTTAGTCTTCTGTGAGTTCAGCATTTGCAACATCAATAAAACCCTGAATGTTATTATTTGAAAATCATGTCCTTTTTGTCACTTTTTCCATTTGTTCACATAGCTACCAATGTAGGTTTCATAAAGCATGTATATAGAACACAACATATTGTTTATCTACGTTAATATAATCAATTCTCTCTACTGACATTTGTAGCTTTTCTTCTCTTGGGAATTCAAAGTTATTCGAAAACTAAACAAATTTTTTCAACTTGGTGTCCCCATGTAATTATCAACTTAATTATTCATCTGATTGGCTGGGCGACCCTTGTAGAATTGTATGCGTACTTTTCTTTTCCTTCTCTTTTGGCATGGTTGATTTTACCTGCTTCATAACTTTATGTGATGACTAGATTGGGAAGTATTTAAACCCCTTTTTTGTTTTCCCTCTGACCATCTTCCTCCATGATAAGATTGCAAAACTACTATGAGTATGTAATTTTTTATGATTTCATACAAATTAAAAGTTGGCAACGATGGTGTGTAATGCTATTAATATTAATCGAAATAAAAATAATTAATGCTACTAAGTAATGTGTATCCTTTGTTTCTCGATTTTGTTGTGTTGATCTCATAGATTTAGCAAGATATGGTATAAAAACACACATAAATGATGTATTTAAGGTAATACATATTGAAATTTGTACTGTTAATGCTTTAAGTATACTAGTTTAGTTTACTAGTATACTAGTATGCTTTAAGTATATGCTTTAAGTAATACATATTGAATTTTAAGCTTGCATGAATTACTAAATCAAATACTATATTCTTTATGTTGTTGTATGGACTCCTTCACGCAAACATTTTGGCATTCTAATATTATATCGACATCATAATCCTAAGAAATGGCTAGGGTAAGGTTCCAAAAGGAAGGAATTCTTGTACATCAGTCACTTATTTGTGCTAATGGCAACTTCTTTTGATTTGTGCTAGTGTGTGATGATGCTCAAGGAAATTGCTGAACTTCCACTGAATTATGTCAAGCATTTAGAAGTGAAAACAGATGAAGTATCAATTAATCTCATCGATCTTTTTCAAGGCATACTTTCTATATCAGTCCGTTTTGGGACCTTGCTCATCCATGTGGATTCACTTCAAATCAAGCTGAAGGTACTACTTTTCTAGGTTGTATGATTCTTTATAGTAAACATGTTTATTTTTGTTTCATGTAATTCAACTTGATATCTAAAATCTTGCTTTCCCTTCAAGAAATGATATATGAATTGTAGTAGTTTTTATTCCCCTTCCTGGCATAATCTTCTCCCCCATCCTCCCAACAAAAGCCCTCATAATAACATTTTTATGGGAAATTGCTAAATTCTGTTCAGAAGTGGAGATAATCTAATTTGAGATTTGCACAAAAATGCAGCTTTGGGACTTTGATAAAAAGAAGGCTTCAAGTGGTTATAACATGCAGCAAGCCAACTACGAATACGCCTTACAATCACTACAGAATGTGTGGATAACCAACTTTGGAGGAAGTGATGAAGAAATCAAGCTGGTAGATTATGTGCTTAAGAAGGCCATAAACTTGGAATGCATTTCTGTATCTCCTATAGCTGCAGATCAAGAAAATTAGCTATTTTGACACAAAAGTCATGGGTGAAAACAAGTTTCAGATATTGTACCAATATTACAGATTGCACAAGTCTCATATTGCTGGAGTACTATTATCTAGCGTAGTTGGAACTATTCCCCAATCTCTTTTTCTTTTCACATGTCCCAGCAACCAAGATTTGACATTGTACTTAATTTTGAAATAAGTTGTTCGAATTTCATCTATGTAGCTTATTTGTTCAATCAGGAAGCATGCATTATGCCTTCATTATTTTCTGGATAAGACAAGTAAAGACCAGAAAAAAAAAAACAAGAGATACTCATATACATACAAACTTTTGGTATGGTTGAATAAGAGAAGTTGAAATAGAATTCAACTATATAGTAAATGCTGAATTAATCTGATTAAATCATGATTTTCAATAACCTCCTAAAAAGATATAAGCACAGACAAATATGCACACGCACACGTAAATAATCCTTTAGCCTCTAGATGGAGCATTTACATTTTATCCTAAAACTCCAACTTTCCATTGCCTAAGTCACATTCAATCAGAAAATTTTGAACATAGTTTTCATTGTTTAATAGTCATGCCACAAATGACAAAACTAGATGGAAGCTGATCTTGGATAGCTACCCAAAATCGACATTTGATAGCTTAAATTGTCCATCAACAACAGTGTTCAAATTTGAGAACTTCCTTGTACTTGAGAGAAGTTTGTCAAGGGAGGACTATAATCCAAATCTCAATGAGCTAGTGAGGCTCAAGGAGATTGAATTGAATTACCTCAATCGTACAAAGGTTGTCGTCTTACTCTTTGGAAGATACAGTCTCGTGAAAGAATCACTAAATTTGAGAAAGATTGGAAGTAAACATAACCAAACAACACTATAAAATGGACAGTTTACATTTTTTTACATACCCTTTTACTTTGTTGTCCTTGTTTATTAGTTTTATTATTTTGTGATAATATCTTTGTGCCTTGTTTAATGCGAGTTCATAATTTTAATCAACGTAATTCACCCATCATCCTATGTTGATTTAGGCAAATAAGGATTATTTTAATTAATTTAAGTAAATAGAGTTGTGATTATAAAAATAAATACATTTCGTACAAGAAACGAAACTTTACATGTGTGAAGCATAATCACAACTTTCTTTAGTCCGCCAAATGATTGAACAATATACGCAAAATAGGCTTCACAATTGTGGTCATAAAACAAAGATTTCAAAGCTTTGTCATGCAACAAAAAATGGTAAGAGCATAGGAGAACAAAAATGGAGTATGAAAATTTATTTCCATGTTAGCTTTAGGAAACAAAAATGACCATTTCGATGGGAGTGATAGCTATCTTAAATACTGGAACTTGCATAAATCTATCCTAATTCACGCAATCCTAGCTCACGTATGTTATGTGAAATTATACCATGTAGTTCACAAAGACTACGTATGAATATTGGAAAATTTTCAGAACCATCCTTGAGATTTTCGATATCACTTATATTCCTTGAGGTTCCGAAAAAGTCATCGACCTCTCTCTTCAGACCGTATCATTTAACAATTAGTGTCATCCAACAATACAACAATATTTTTAAAATAATCATTTAAGGATAGCGATGTATTTTTGTTCCAAATCTACCCTTTTGAGTTGTCTACCTTAAATTTTCAACCAAACTAATTTTTAATAGAAGCTTTACATAAACTTAAAAAGTTGAGGGCCCAGGGAAGGTGTTTAGTACAATAATAATTAAAACAATTTTGATGATTGTATCGATTTTGGTTTTTTTTTTTTTGTGGGTCTATATTGTTAGAATAATTAGGGAAATTTAACATAAGAAAGGCATAAGATGACAAAAAAAGTGACAAAAAGATATGTTTGAATACAAAAAAGAAATTTTAGACAGTCATTTCTTATCGATTTTGACTTTTTTCTCTTCCAATTCTTTAAATTTCTTTTTTGTTTTCTTTTTGCACCAATGATTGTCAGAATAACAAGACTAATTGAATATAAAGTTGGCATAAGAGGACTAAAAGTGAAGGGGGTATTTAAGTAAAAAAGTAATTATAACAATAGCCAATTTTTACAAATTTCAATGTTTTCTTTTTTTGCTTAAATAATGGCTAGAATATTGAGGGTAATTTAATATGAGGTTAGCCTAGGATCACAATAAGTAGGAAGGGGGCATTTAAAAGAAATAATAATTGTTCTAATACCCATTTTTTTAATGGATTGGTTTTTTCTCTTCCGTTTTTTTTTTTTTTTTGGCGGCCTAAATAGTTGTTAGAATAGCAAGGGTAAATTAATGTAATATTAACATATGAGAATTAAAAGTGGAAAGCAGAGATGCTTAAATGCAAAACTCATTGCTAAAATAACCTTTTTTTCTCTTCCACCATTTTTTTTCCTTGATAAATGTTAGAATAATGAGGCTGATTTAGTCTAAAGTCGGCATAAAAGGACTAAGAAATTTGAATGGGGGAGTGGGTTGGATTTAAGAGCAAAAATAATTGTTCCAACAGCCATTGTTCTTACTATTTTGATTTTTTTTCCCTAACAGTTGCTACAAAATTGTAAAAATAGCTGTTTTATTTCAGGGATTAGGGGTTTTGTCTTCCATATTTTTTGCCTAAAGAATTGGTGATATCATGAAGGTAATTTTGTCAATTCGTATACTATAATAGTCAATCTCTAACTCAAGGGGTAAGTAATATTTTTAAAATTTCCCACACGCCTCGTGATATTATCTTCAGAGAGATTTTTTAAATAATCCAATGTATATACCCCCCCCCCCCCCCCCAAAACCCAACACACGTACACACACAAATGTAGACTGAAATAGAGCCACTTTTTAACTTTAAAGATTAGAATTCTACCTTTGGTAAGAAAGCGCGTTTAATAGAGCAACCAAACGTAGATTGAGGAGGAGCAAAACTCTCAGATATATATATGTGTATATAAATATAGAAAATCCACTGTCCAATATTTACATGATACGCAAGGGGAACGTATAACTTCAATCATTCCACAGCCTTCCCTTCCAAGAGACTCGAAAAGTCAGGAAATAGCAACAAAAGAAGGGATGCTACAAGATTACAGCAGTCAAATAACAGAGGCTTTTTGGCACAATTTTAGCCGCTGAGTCTGAACCTTGTCTTCATTCCCATGTAACTGATATCATGGAGTTAGCAAGCCCTGATGCCTCGAATGTTAAATCTATGTTGTAGTCCAAGGACTTGGACCCAGGGATAGCTTGTGTCAAGCGAAATGGCCTTGTCTTGGCTTCCTCCAGCTGAGAACAGCAGAATGACCACAGCAACTGAAACCACAGAAAAAGCAAAATAAGCAAAGAGCGGCTTCCAAATTGACAGCACTAAGAGCATTAAGTGAATTTCACTGTAGTTAGGTAAATGGAATGGACAGCATTTGAAATGACGTGCTCGTAAATAGCTAATCCTATATTAGAAGCAGGTAAAAAACCGGCGGCTCAAAACCCTATCAGTTGGTCACTTAATCATCATAAATCAGGACCGAAAAATTCTGCTTGTTATACAACTGGAAAAGTAGTACCGTATCCTTATAGTAGAACAAAACAAAAGCACAATCTCCTATTTGCCTTCAAATTGATGGCCTTCCACGACTTAAAATGACTGATCCTCACCATTTTTTACATTCAGCAAACCAAATCAACACATGAACATGGATGTATAAGGTCCCCGAAGGAGTGATAATAGTAAAATTACAACACTTCAGTACTACTAAGAGTATTGATCGAAATCTTACCTGAATTGGGTCAGACCGAAGAAAGTTCCTCTGAAGTCTGCGTCCATCAGGAAGCCTTACGCCAACCCTGCAGAGAAGATTCTTGTCACCCTTGGGTTCTTCAGGCAGTGGTGGATAAGCAGGGTTCTTGGTTAACAATGTTTGTGGTGATTCGTCAACATCATCAGCTTCCTTTTTATCCATATCTTTCACACCTTCCATTGAAGCAGCCAATGCCCGAAGCATATCCTCATCTTCTTCAGTCTCACCTGACATCCAAGAAAAATTCCGGTTCAATTTCCATTTGTCATCCTCAAGGCAGCATTTGGCAAAGTAAAATGAGTGCAATAGAAGTTTAAATGTACCCAAAATATGTCAAAGAGGATATTTAACCAAAAAAAAAAGGGACAACTAAGACAGGAATAATCAGTGGAAGAAGATGTTAGCAATTCAAAAATAATGGGGCACCTAAACTGAGCTTTCAAAGCTTCAAAAACAAATTAAAAGCCGCACCAATGACCTTTAAGCACCACATGGATATTTAATACCATGTCAAGCACAAAAAAAAAAATCATGAAAAATGTGATGATCATGTTGTTAAGTGAGTGTAAGTAGGTCTGCTTTAGAACAGTCAGAAAAGATATTCTGGAAATGCACGTTCAAAATTTGCTTTCCAAAAACAGCTTTCAATCACTAAAGCTTTTGTAGGATAAGAGCACTAGTCAATAATATCTCAGAAAGCTATTCTTAAAGGAGTTAATCAACAGTATCTCACAAAGCAACAAGAAGAATGTTTTCGTGCATATCTCATAGATATAGCAAAAACTATTTTACAGTTTAAGAGAAGCACTATTTCTAGGCCTTACAGTTGTGCCGCCTGAACAAAATGAATTGAACAATATTATGCAACAGCAGATAAACATTCTTTCTTAATACAAATAAACATAGTATGCTTATGCAAACTATTTCCATCGTTCTAAACACCATGCTGCTCAAAGACAGGATCAGGTTACTAACTCTAGCAGAAGAAGAATAAGTTTCACGACAGTGAGCAGTAACAATGGAGAAAGAGATCAACAAGATAGCGTTCAGGGGATTAGACAAGAAACAGAACAAAATAATAACCAACTAAACTTAATTCGTCATATCTATCTGCAAAAAAAATTAATCTCAAAAAAGCTAAAGGCAAATCTAACTGAAAAATCTTATGATGCATACTGCAATCCCGCTTTCATCACACAAAAATATAGGGGGAAAAG